GAAGCTTTATAAATAGCTTTTTCTTTACATCAAACAAACATGTTCGTCACCTTGAGATACCCCGCGCACGATATACAACCTTGTGATATTTGTAGTTTATGACATTGACCACTCTTTAGTAGAGTATGAAAGTAATGTCTGTTTGTTTTTAGCTTGAAATCCCTTCTATAACTTGATTCCACGCAGACAATATTTAATCTACTTGTCCATAAGTTGGAAAAAAGTCAGTCTGTACTTTAAGATTTTCAACTACAATGTAATATGTATTTATCACAAATATGTTCTGAAACTTTTTTCTTCAACATTAAATACTTATTATTAAGTGCTTTAAGTTGTGCATGTGACAAACACATTACAAACGCAATAAAAAATCACTAAAACATACATCTTATTCTAAATTTTAAAAAATGGAATCAAGACTCAAGTTGAAAATGACAAAAAAAAAGGGGACGGATTTTTTGGTTCAATATTATCGAAAATGTCTAATTAAACCTCGAATATGCTGCAATGAATTTACGAAATGCTGAAATAGGCTAAAGTGAAATAAAATACATTTGGTTCTCTTTTCAAATGCAAAGAAATAAAGATTTAGAGGGAGAAGAGATACGCATAAAAAGCAAAAGCCATCTTATGCATAAAGTGGCCCTGTACTTATATCAATTAATTAACTATCACCCTCTTTTCATTTTCACATATCAAAATAAAGTAGACACTTGGTGCTTTCATGTTCTGTAATGAAATTTTGTTTTGAGAATCCAAATATATGAAAACAGCCTTTGAGAAATTCCAGTGTTCTTGAAATTTGCAGAAAATATGCGTATTTGACTACCTTCAACAAAGGTATAAAATATGAGCACAGCCCACGATCCAAAAAGTAAAACATGTTTTTGATCTTCCGAAATAGACCTTTCATTATGTATTGGCATATTTCGGATCAGAGGTTGTGCTCTATATGAAATATTGAAAAAAGCACTTCAATTTTAGGTCATTTTCAAAGGAATTTTCAGGATATGAGGAAAATGACGCATTTTATGACGTCATAATGCATTGACTAGATGTGAAATTACGTCACAATTAATAGATAAAGTAGTCACCAACAGTGTTTGTCAAAAATACTGCATTTGCAACCTAAACTGAGAGGTTTTGAATTTTCAGAAATTCTCAGGGCCAAATAAAGCCCAAAGTGGCTCTTCCTCTTTAATTTTGATTTGTAGTCAGGATGTCCAAAGTCATAACGAATGAGACTTAAAACATCAAGCATGTGAGGCAGAGATATAAAACTCCAGAAAAATAGTGTGGTGGCACATTTTTGTAGGGATCTTCCCATGTGAATCAATCCATTTACTGTATTATTTACATTGAAATCAGCTATTCATTACTTTATACATATTGTAAATTTACATGAACAAGATACGTTCAATTATTTAGTACTTAACTTCAGGGATCGAAATTGAATCTCATAATAAAGAAAATATGTGAAAAACGGGAGAGGACATTCAGAAGAAATGACGCTGTCGGAAGTCATAAACGTTATAATCGTCTTAACGTCGTTAGCGCCCGGTGATCATTTAAAATATTGTATATTTAATGATAAATTTGCAAGTAAGAGTATTGACTACGGTAAAAATATCAATGCTTCTAACACTTTTGTTGTTTTATGTGCCTTATAAATTTTGAAAGCATAGGCAACAAAATAAGGAGGCTGGAGGGTCAACAAATTAATCACAAATTAACCACCAGATTTAACTTAGTTTTTTTAGATACGGTAACTTAAGCTGTCTACAATCATTTCACAAAGAAAAAATTCATACATTTTAGTTTTAAAATTTGATCATATTCTATATCTTCATATGGAGCTCTCCTTTTAAAGGAGATAAAAATAGTTTGAAAATGGCTGCCACACCCCAGCCACGTTAATAACCATTCCGACATTTTTTTTATGTATAAGAAATGATTATGATTTTTATCAAAGAAGAAATTCAAGAATACATAAAAAATAAACTCATCTAAAAATTTGGAGAATGAAAAGTCGGTTTATTTTTTTTTTAATTAAAAATTACCGATTACTGTTAGCCTACATATGAATTGGTATATTTTATTTACTTTAATACATATACTTATTTATCAAAATTTCATTCGAATTCCATCCTTAGGATTTTCATTTGTTCCAACCAGAACACTACACTACTAAGTTAGCATAAAGTAAAGGCTTTCAAGGGCCTGAAAGTCAAGTGCAGGTCAGAAAAGGGTTTTTTTTTTTTTTTTTGATAATATCGGAATTCAGCAAATCATAAAGCTAGAATTTATTGATTCACATAATAAGCACGTACTTTTAAATGATTCACAGTCCAATTGATTACCTTTTTATTGTTTGCTGGACAAATAATGTTGGCAGTCATATATCAACTTTAAACCAATTAAAGTCGCTAAGTGCTTTCCAAACGAAAGGTATATGACTATATTGCACCACCAGACAGATAAAAGATTTTTGGAAATGTATTTAATATATATCTTTAGTCTATAGATATGTTTTGAATACTTTTCGACAAAAAATGCCGTATGTCTATAGTAGGATAATTCTTTGGTAAAATGTAGACAACCGATTTTTGTTATTAAATGTCTCGAGCTCATGATATCGATGAGTTGAAAGATATTAAAGATATTTCATTTAGTTTATTATATTGTTTGCATAAGCATTTCCAATAATCTATAACAATTTAAAATCAAATATTATTAGTCGGAGATATAACGTTTTTCTGCCTATATATTTCTGCCTATCAAATGTGAGAAAAGTCTAGACGGGATTAGATGTTCAAAACGTTAGGAAATGTGGTTTAGGAAGGTGCTGCATTGTAAGCGCCAGACTGTTATTGTTAGCACATTAATTCATTTATGCTTGACAAATATTAAATGAATAAAATGATTTATATGAATATATCGAATAAGATGTGGTAAATATATTTGCTTTTATACATATCAAGAGAGAGTACTAAGAGACATTGTCCTTCGTATACCGGAATGTGGACGATCCTTTGATTTCATGGACTCATTAATTTCTTCTTTCTGAAAGTTTTTTTTTCAAGCTTAGAAATTGAAACACGTCAAAGGATGAACGATCTGGCGAATAATGTGGGTGCGACAAATTATTAATTATCTGTTTATTCCCGAATCTCCTTTACTCTATATGGAGTTTGGGTTGAATGCTTTCATGAAGATATTTAATGTTGGATTTCTGATTCTGGTTCCATCCCCTCATAAACCTTCCGATTTTTTGGCATAAATTTGCTTTCTTGACCTCTCCAGAAATCTAACATCCTCCCTAAATAAGAATTTGAACAACACGACTTCTGTTTTTGTCAAGTCTATCTTATTGTCAATTTGATTTGAGGATTTAAAGCAATAGATTCAAGTTTCATTAATAAATGTTTGAATTTAAGAATTTTTGGTATTCTTAATTGTTAAGATATTCTTACATCATGTCGTTTTCACTCATTTTTCAAAATATAAGGTGATCATTGAGTACTAAGCCTTTTAATGTCAAATATTTCTTTAAAAGAAAGGAAACTTCACCAAATGATGCCTTTCAATGTTGCTTTGCATATTAAAGTCATCAAAAGAGTCAGTTATAATTTGTTGAATTTTTGCAAACAAACACTACATTATTTGTTGCAAGTCCTGCTCGCTAAGGGCAGTATTAATTTCTGATGTCAATTATATCATTTTTGGCCATTGAAATCCACCTGCTCATGTTTCCTTAAAACAGATATTAGTTGCTGTAAATTTCACATACTACTAATACAGAGAAAATTTCTTTGTGATTCTTAAAGAGTTTTAGAGCAGCTTAAAAGAAGTGTTTAATTTCTTTCTAGTTTACCTATAATTGTTTACTATTTATTTAAATGCAGTGTTCTCGAATAGCCATTGTTTTTGAGCTTTTCACAATGAAGCTTTGTGATAAAAAGTGGTCACCTCAACTTCAATCAATTCATTAAAGATGCAGTCATAAGAGAAGGTCAAGCTTAATGTCATATGATTTCAATGTTACATTTCATAGAGTTCAGGACTTTATTTAAAAATTAATTGAACAGCCATCGCATTTCTTCATGATCAAGTTATGTCACACCAGCAACAATTAAGTAAGAAAATTGCGTCTAGCAAAGAACACTATTTAATGACTGAAGATGCCTTTAATTATACAGAAATAAAGACAAAGACATAAAGGCAAAAAATATACAATTTCTGTTTTAAAAATTTTACATTGAAGGCAACAAAAAATTAAAAAAAAATGAAATTAATTATCAAACTTATCTTTGTAAATTAAATTTAATTGGGTACTACATGTACTGCATACAAGATATATGAATTTGTACTTAAATGGATCTTTCTCTGTTTAATTGTTGTGTTGATAAATGTAATGTCAACCATGCCACTGTTTGCCTTTTATTCCGCTTTGTGAATGTTGAATTTCACTCTTTAATTGGTCCTTGCTTGTTCGAATCTTTGTACTGTGATTGAAACTGGAATCAAAATGTTTCATGTAATTTGAACTATAAATAAAAAAAAACTTGGGAAGATAGAAATTTAACAGCAAAACACACTTTTTAAAAGCATGTTTTTAATGCATAATTTCATTGATAATCCTTTCTTTTTCAATCGTCGCTACTTACACTCTTTTGTATATCAAAACACCAAGAAACACCAAAAACAGACTCAAAACTGCCACCGCAAAAAATATCAAGATTATGTTGAAAGTGTTCTTCCAAAATGATTTTTCATCTTCTGAAATTATGATTCAATTTAACAATTTGGAAATAAGAAAAGATGTAGTAAAAAGACGTATCAATATTTTTATCAAATAGATCTTATGTCCATTCTCTTACATTTTTTAAACTTGGATTAAGAAAATATATTGCATTCTATCCAAGTCATCTATTAATAGATTTTGTTCTATACCAACAAAACATAATTGTATCGTTATTGAAAGATTAAATTTCAACATATTAAATCAAGGGGTAACTTAAACGAATACCTTTGCTATCCACATGACATTCCCCTGTATTACCTACAGTAAAAACATGATTTAAGTTCAAAATATTTATTTGAAAACTTAATTATTTGATTATTTGCAAATATTTATCAAAAGCTTAAACGTGTCAATTTGTTATTAATTAGAATTCCAATAAAACGACAAATTTATGTAAAAAGTAAATGTTACCAAAACAATATCTCTCAGGGCAGTTTGGTGTGGAAGTTAGATTGTATACCAAAAATGAAGAACAGTTCCGCACTTGTATATCAATTTCCCTGTCACAGGAACATTTATTTGTTTTTCCCAAATTTACACAGGCTTTCATGTCTACTGTTTTATCGGTAAGACTAGGCCCCAAACCTTAAAAGGAAATTCCTTGTAAGTACATGTAAATTGAATGTTTCTTTGAGAGTGTCAGGTTGTTTATCAATGTACTGTATATCATTTACCATTCAACCAAATCGGGGCCTCCGTTCCACAGCTGTTCCTTTCAACACATGATGTTGGCATTTTCACATCAACATTTCCATTCATCGGTCGATACCAACTGTTTCGCAGAACGGAATCGCAAAGTTTAAGCGATTTTTCTTGGCAACTAGTTGATCGATCTCCGGAAACCGGAAGGTTGAGTCGATTTTTTTCCTCACAAGGGTCTTGAAAAAAAATGTTTGCTGGATTAAAGAATCTGCGAGTTGTACATGAAAGATGTTTTAGATGAAAAAGAAACCATTTTAACATACCTGGTTTTGAACATTCCAAATTCTCGCCTTTAAATTAGACATAAAAATTATTGTGTTAAAGAAAATCCCAAAGAATGAAAATCACATGTATATAACTACATTACATAATTAAAAAGAAACAATATAGTTATGAATTCAAATCAATAATGACTTACCAAAGCAATAAGCAACATCACAACTATCAGGACGAGATAGGTTGTATAAGTAAAAGGTTCCGCATTTCAAAATTTGCACTGGATACTGTTTTTTACAAACATCAGAACCAGCATGCATGCACGCATTTTTTGTTACAATTGTCCCATCAGTGGTAGGATGAGAGCCTTAAAAATATTCATATATTTTAAAATAGTGAATTTTAACCTTCCCATGATTTTCATATATATATTAACTTTAAATCTTATAATTGTATTCATAAAAGAATGTTGCCATATTTTTGTACCTTTAGGCAAGTATAGAGGGTAATTCGTTCCACAGTAAAACATTCTTACAGGACCCTCGGCCATTTTCCTGGGAAGTTTGTCATCATGACCTAATACTTTGTACCATTTATTTTTACCAGTTTCGATGTATCTGTCGCAAATGCTTTTTTCTCTAGTTCGTTTGCATGCCGTTCCCCTCCATCCTCCATTTGGAAGAATGGAATGGTTTTCCTCGTCACATGGATTGACAAAAGCCCCTTTAACAGTAATGTTTTGAACGTTTTTGACAAAAACCACAAGATATAAGCAAAATAAAAAACAAAGAACAGGGAAGATCCTTACCTTTATCGATCTCTATAAGGACATAGAGGACAGCTAGAAGTAGCCGCATATTCCCCATCTTATTATCACATCCCAAATATTCTAGTTTGATTTAACTCTTAAGATATTAGATTACTAGTCAATATTTCGACACGCCTTCCAACTGATAACACGAAAATCAATACAAAAAAGGCCGAATATGAAATAATTCAAAAGTTGTCAGGAGGGAATTTGTTTCTTCGAAATGTTATTCTAAACTGTGCTTTAAAGAACCTGTCAATCAGATAATGACCAATAGGAATCAAGTTTTTTTAAGCAAATATCATATATATATATACAAGTGTATGTATATTAAGACAGAATAACACATATTTTTGATTTGAAAAATGGGGCCAGTTATCTTCAATGCTCTTTTAGGAACATTGTTTTTTGGCAAATTCATCTTAATAGAGGGTTAGTCTTTCTGATTTTCTTTCTCTTTCTCTCTCATTTTCTTCTCTCATGCTCGCTTTCTTTATCTGTATTTTCCTATTTTTTCTTTCTTTCCCTCTTTTTCCTCTCATATTGTTATTTTTCCAGCTAATCCAGGAGACCCCTGCCTGCTTGCTAAAAGTCTTCCAAACTTTGAACTACGGTTGAAAGTTTTTAAAATTGACCCAAGAAGAGGAGATAAAGCTATATGCGACAGATATCTCATTCAAGAACCCGGAGAATGGTTTCATACTTTAGAAAAAAATGAAATGGTTAACAACAAAACAGAATTTTATGAATGCGGAACACATTATGGTATCTACATGCAAGGTATGTTATAAAATACAATTTTGTAAATAAAAGCAAAAACTGTTATCAAAGAACTTCTAAATAATTTTGGCAACGTTTTATATCCTGGTCATTATTCTATGGGGGGCATTATTCGTCTTTACACTTGTAATTGCTCTTTGAGCAATACGCCCGGCTTAAAATGTTGATTTATATATAAACAGATCTAAAAATCACAAGCATTTTACCCAAATGTAATATTTCGGATATTTCAGGCAATCCTCCAACAAAAGAAAATGAAGTTGTGACACGTACAGCTTGTGTCATCCCACGGTGCACAACACACTATACCATTAAAGTGAAAAAATGCAGTATTTTTACTGCTTACTATTTACCACAACCCACGTCATGTGATCAGGCATATTGTTTTGGTAGGTATTCATAATAATTTCATTTATATTTATGTTTATTATATCTCCCGAATAATATTTTCAATTTATTTGAATATTTTATCCAAGATAACAATTTGAAAACTGCCATCAATGACAATAACATAATGTTTTCTACTTCATTGTTTTTCTTTTTCATTAAGTATTTTCTTATGCCAGTTTGAAAATTTTCAAAAGGGTTATACACTTGGTTTTAAAAGAAATCTGAAAAGTTCTTGGTTATAATGAATAATATTTTTTTAAAAATATTTTTTTCAACTGGAGAAGTATGAATATTTTATAATAATTAAACATCAGAAATGTATATGCTAAACCTTGAACTATACATATACTCTAGGCTAATGAAAGAAAATAAGCCTTTGATATCAAAGATTACTTTTATCATCTTTAATTAAACGCAAACAATCCAAACATTAAAAAAGAAAATTAAGAGGGATTCAGAATGAAATAAATCCAAATATATAATGTAAGTTTATAATGAAAATGAATTCTATTAATTTATAGATACTTTAGCATAAAATGTTTTACTACTATAATAATAAACAAACTTTTAAAAAAATAGTTTACAATAGAGTATGAAGATTTGTTAATAGTAAGAATTGAAATGCAGTCACAAAGTCTCAAACAAATCTTACGTTACATTTACAAGGAAGCATATCTTTGAAGTTGTTGACATAGACTCGTTAATTTAAAAACATTGGCTAATTTTTGCATAATAGGTTTTGCCTTTCTTATAATTCCATATATCATTGAGATATTGGCATTTCTTACAACGTAGTCAGTGCTTCAATATACAATATTTTTTATTATCAAATGTCTGTGTTCTTTTCTCTTAAACCGTCAATCGCTAAGAAACATTCTGTACATGAATGTCTTAAGCCCTCCTGAATCAGGAAAATACAATTTTGTGCAGTGTAGACCTGATATAAAAATCTCACACTTTTTATGTATATGTTTACTTTTCAAACGATACATAGGATTTACAGATTCATAATTGGATTTTGTAACGATTCCTCTCATTTGTCTATTTCTATTATGCATAATTATTCACTCTTTATTTTTATTTACAGGATTTGGAGTTAATGGTAAGTTCATTGCGAATTAACGAGGTGGGATCCTGATATTTAGAGTCTTGAATTTTTTTGTTAAGTATATTTTTAGTTTCTACTCACATAACTAAATTAAAAATAAAACCTAAAAATGGGGGGTCAATATGCTTCTTTTGGCTCCGCAGTGCATTTAATATAACCTTTTCGCTCTGAATTTTCAATGTTTTCTTTCCAATATTTTTATCCAAAAAAGCATTGAACAAAATAAACTGTAAGTCCAATCATGAACACATTTAAAAATTCTGCCTTAGAAATAGTTTCAAAATGTTTCGCATAAGCCCATATATGACCTCTCTGCACCTACAAAATGTGATTTTTCTGTCATTGAAAATCAGCTGTTAGCTGAAAGAAGAAAATGACGAGTAAAATCTACAATAGTTTTCTATACTGAATGTACATGTACCGTAATAAAATAGCTTTACTTAAACTTTATTTTTGAAAGGCATTGCACCGAATAAAACAACGGAAAAACCATATGTTGAACCTAAGCTTGTTAAGGTTAAAGGCAAAACAGATGGTGACGAAAGTTATCAGAAACTCGTCTTTCAATGTCAGTTTAGGCCAATCAGAAATGACGTCAATAGGGTGCTCTATAAGGTGTTCTGGTACATCAACAATCACACTTCAACCATTTTCGCCAGCAAAGCCGTTCCTGAAAGTTCATTATCAGAAACATATCTAGAGGGTAAAACAGGACTTAACTCAATCAAACTTGGTGTAGAGGTAAGAAAAAAAAATATTTCTGCATATTGTATGTGCATTTATTTATTGAATTACTCAATAAAATATGTTTAAAGTATAAGTATAAAGTATTGGAAACTATATAAATATTCTGTTTTTCTACAGATTTCCTGTAAAGTTCGTCTTTATTATGATGCTCAAGGTCCACCAGGCCCATCGTCTGAAAAAAGTCAACATTTTTTTGCTGGAATTCAGGTGATGAAATTATATTCTTATGATAAAATGCATTTTAGCCAACTATTATATACATGTAAGTCCATTTCTAAATCTTTCATTTTATTTGAAATGTTGTTTAGGATTCTCCATGAGCTGTTTTACGGTGGCGATTCAAATTAAATGCGTGTGACACAGTAAAGTCTGTGATAATCAGAAAATAAATTCCCTCTAACTAAAACACGTGCAACATACAAATCTAATTTTAAAGTAGAGCACTTAATTAATTCTTAAGTAGAGCCTTAAATTAATAAAGACATATAATGTGCTTTTACGCTAGTTACATTTAACATATACAGTGGAGCCTCATTTATCCGGACGCTTTAGTTCCTAGTTAATTTGTTCGGATATGTGAAGCGTCCGGATACCTGAATAACCAAATAAACAAGACAAAATAACATTTCTTTACTTCATATAAAATCTAGTTAATTAGTTAAAGCAATTTTTATTTTGAATTTAAAAGTTAACACCGTTAATGTTCCCCTTCTCGTGATATATATACACACATATTTAATATGCATTCATATGTACATGTATATGTAATTAATCCGGGTCTTATGGTCGGTTCAAATTTAGTATGAATGATATGAATCTACGCAAAGTTTACATCATTTATTTGAAAAATCCACGATAGTAAAATACAGTTGATCAGTTGAGATTTTGACACTCGCGTGAGATGTAAAGGTCCCAAAACAATATAGCCATAGTTTACATCCTCTGATCATGTCAGAGCATTATATCTGATTTTGAGAATAAGCTCCAAAGTATAAGAATTTCAATAACTCTGACTGACACTTTAAACAAATACTTCAATACACAAACTAAAAAACAGACATCGAAAATTTACTTCCAAAATCATCACCCGATCAAATGCCTGACAATTGACCATAACCGACCAAAACAAAAGTACAGTTGCTTTATCCGTAAAAAAGCAAGCAAGCCTTTAAATGTAACCACCATTGTTGGGAATTTTGTTATATTTACATATAGATGATTAAGGGCTTAAAATAAAAGGTAGACATAAAAATAAGAGAATAATACGCATATTTAAATGAGTATTTTGATATTCTACATGTATGTATTATTAAACACATCTGATTCACTAGACAAGGAATCAATTTTCGGTGTTTAATGTACATTGATAATCTGATAGGAGGGATAATTCTTAATGACATAAATGTCTATTATTCCTTTATAATTTTGCCAAGTTGAAGTGTCTTTTTTGTCCAATTTTGCCTCGCAAACTATGGTTATAATTGTTTGTATTTTACTTTTAAAATACATTTGTTTTGGAAAACCATTAAGATTCAAGCAACATTTTATATGAGTGACCAGAGGGTTTATAAACCTTAACAAGTGCTTGAGCAATTCAGAAATGATGGCATTTTGAAACTTTCATTGTTTCTCCGCACCATCGGACTTCGACGTGTCAGATTCTCGCGTGTCTCCTAGGAGTTTTGGCGTCCATGTCGACAACAAACAATCGGAGGCGAGACCATCAGACTTTGCTGTCACCATCGGGTTTTGGAGACTTTGGACCCTTTCACAATTTGAGCACGAGCAGAAGCGAAAAAATTTTCGTGCGACCGAAAAACTTTGATTTGGATCGTAAACTGTTGCTGAAATAATCGCATATGAAAAAGTATTCGTACGAAATTCGCACGCTCTAAAGCGACCGTTGTGCATTAAATCTTTGATATATGTGACTGTTGCACAATAAAAGTGAGTGTTGTAAGATAATGCGAAAGGATCGCGCGAGTTGTCAAGTGATTGGAAGATTAGACGTGCACCAATGCGATTGGACGTAAGACGCTCGTGCAATCATGCGTTTCATGGTACAAATGATCGTGCGAGTGAGAAGGGGAATATATATATATATATATATATAGAGAGAGAGAGAGAGAGAGAGAAAGCACAGAAAATTCACCTACGTCTTTCATGTCTGTCGACGACGAATACCGTAAGTAACGCCTGCATGATCATATGTCTTTGCTGGAGTACGAGTTGTATTGAATTCAAAAATTCAGTATACCAAGCAGACGGCGAGGAGGTATTGGTGAAGCTGCATATATGGTCAATTGTGGTCCAAAACAAAGATGCTTATACAGCATACTTTCACATATACTAGTGGCAAAGAACAGGAATTCTAAGCTGATAAATCGCATAATAAAACGTTGCAAGATTACATGAGACACGTTGAGCAACAGTCTCATGGTCGCAAAATCCACGCATATAGCTCGGCAAGAGCACGTGCGAAGCTAAAATATTCCGATCGCAGTGTTGTAAAGTGCTCGTGCACCAATTGTGAAAGGGTCTTTGCGTGTAATATTATTATAATAACTTATACGTTGATTTGAAAAATATTCTAAATGTTTTGTTTCATGTCGGTGATTTTTGTTTAAATTTCATTTCTTTTTTAGGTTTCGTTCCGTTTTGATTCAGTATATTTCGTTTTTATTTCGTTTAGCATTTTACAGATAGCCTTTAAACATTCCAGAACGTAATTACCATTTAATGTTTTTTATTAAAAAAAATGAATAACTGAATAAAAGGTAACCATATGAATGTAATCGATACCATTAAAAGCATATGAAAGTTAATTACTTAGTATATAGAATTAATTTGTAGAAATTAAATTTTATATAATTCAAAATGTTCATGTTTCTTTAAATTTTACTGTTGTAGCCTTTGAAGCGGTCCTACACAATAATAAGAGGAGACGAAAAAGAATCACAAATTGAATTCAAGCTTACAGTGCCATTTGGTTGTACGTTCTTCAGTCCAACAGATACAGTGCCTGTGGAGTGTCCCCTTTCTGTGGAGCTTAACACGCCTGATTATTTGAAATGCAGTCAGGGAGTTTATGCAGTAAATATGTGTGGGAGAAAAGTGTCAAGTCTAACCTGGAACCAGACACAAAGTATTTCAATAAAACATAAAAACAACAACAATTATAGAACCGTTAATACGTTTGAAGTACATCTCAAAACAAAAGTTAGAGAAAACGGTGAAGAATTTTGGAATAAAATTGAAGTACCAACGATATATGTAAGTAATTAATTTTATGGCTTTACCTTTTTTTTTAATATGTATATTCCCTATACAGAAATAGCGAAATCTTTCAGATACATGTCATAGAAGACTCTGCAAGATGGAAAGGGTCAACTTGCACTGCTGTTAGTGATCCACACATGACAAGTTTTGAGAATGTGTATATATATTTTTTTTTATTCTTTAATGATATAATATACTTTACCTCATGAAAAATATGTTTAAGAATATATGAAATTAAAAAAAATTACAAATTTAATTTTCTTTCAGTAAGTTTGAAAGTCATAGTCCTGGGACCTATATACTTTACAGAAATATGGATGAAGCAGGAACCGTAAATGAGGTAAAACAAAACATTATTTCAGTTGCTTTTATATTCATAAAAAAGAAAGTATGAAACGCAAATAACTAATATAATTATAGTCTTTGGATAGTCCCTACATAATCTTCAAAAGTGTAAAAAGTTCATAACACTACATGTTGACCGGAATGGAGATAGTATTCACCGAAGGGTCTGTGCGCGTCCAGTGGCATTGTGACGTCACAAACAACCTCAACAACGCTGTAAACAATGGTTGCAACAACCACAGACAGCTATGTATCTGAACATGAATTTTTTTATATACAAACCTATCGCTGGATTATTTTTAAACGTTCGGACGTCTTACACATTGCAAAACTCGAAAAGGTAAACACAGAGGTTACTTGCTGTATCTGGGCATTTTTTTAAATTTTTTTTTATTTTCAACGTCATGCAGCCTTCAATAATCCGGACTATATAACAAAACAATAATGTACTATTCAACCCCAAACAAGTTAATACTTGTATAATGTCACAACGAAATGTACTTTGTTACTTTTTGCCTTGAATACATGTAAGGCATTAATTATTTTAGATTATGACTTGTTTATGTTTTTCTCCGACTTAAGAAAGCTATTTTCATTCTTCGTATTATTTTATGTTGCTTATTTCTATTTTTCAAAGTTAATGAAATAACATCAATAATTATTTGAAATATTCAATAAGTATATATTTTAAACCTCACTTCGTTTTGAAAATTTTCATTCCTAAATATATTGGCCTTTTTTCGTGAAAAATTGTGTGTTTGCGTAGGCAAACGTCTAAGATCGTGTAACGTGTAGAGACGTGTTCTTGAAGGATCGTTTATGTAACAGGTTAAATCGTGCGTTAATCGTACAGAATCGTTCGAATAACAAGATGTTCATGTAATTAAGTTGTCAACAGCTACTATAGCACCGACGAAAAAGATAATGAAATTCTCCGCCAAATCAATAGGCGTATAGTATCTTTTTGAAAAGCCCGCGCTTTTTAAAAAAGTTCGCGTACATAAGCATTCAGCAGTGTATGTGCACAAATTCTGTATTGCATTTATACGCTAATATAAAGATAAAATTAATATCTTATTCGTCTTTATATTTAATTCTCAAAATAATATAGGTTTACATTTCCAAAGACTGAGATGTTAAGAATATGTGTTTAAGTATCCTCATTATGACTATTTTGTCGATCGATAGCATCAATCAGCTTTGATGCTGTTTGGTCTTTTCTTTAATTTTTCCTATGGAGCTATTTATAGTAAGAAAGGCGATCATGACGCATGTAGCCGGGACTTTGCTTTTAGCATATATATCCCATTTAATAAAATATATGGAAGAAAAAGTCCTATAATGGGAGAAAATATCCCATCTGACATTTTTTTCTCTCATGGGAGAATGCTGGGATAGTTTGTGGGACTGTAAATCCAATCATTCTCCCATGGGATTCTTAGTTTTAGGACTTCATATCTTAAGAAGATGTGGAGATGTTTGAGAGTTCAACACGACCCCCTGGAATACTGTTAAGAAATTCCACCAAGTAATATTAAAATATTTTGGATATTATAATTAGAAATAGTATAAAAGTCTGGAATATGTCGTATTCAGAGTTAAATGTCGTACTGTTACTAGTGATCGTTTATAGAGGCACCAGAAAAAAAAATACTTCTACATATGTAATAAGGCCTTTAGGAAAGAAGCAATAACGCTTTATGAAAAGCCACAATAACGCCGTATGAAAACACCTTTTCGATTTTGTAAATACTAGATGATCTTAGTAGACTTTCGTAGTTACCGTAGTTTCGTTGTTACAAAATTTCGAGACAAATGTGACGAAAATATGCAACATTTTTATGCTTTTACTTTAAGATCCAGATGAAGGTCTTTACTTGTAATAAGGGATACTACAAATGCGCCTGTGCAGTTGCAGTCAGGGCGGCATCAGATGTATTTGTTATAGACAGATGTCCAAGTACATCCCCAAGACGAATTGGGTTCCAAAGCTGTGTGGAAGACCTTTTACATGTTGTTAAAAATACTAATAATGAACATCAATACGAGGTATTTTAATTCTGATATCGGTAGATTAAAGTACATAATAAATATGCACTAAAAATGGACAGCTTGACGTTTGAGCAATAATGTATAAAAATGTTAAACGTCCTTGTTTGTCAATTTTGTAGATTCATTTTCCTTCCAAAACTTATCTGGAAGTAAGATTCGGTACAATGGGTGGCTATGATACCCTCGAATTAAGTGTATATCCGTCTCCTGCTGACGAAAACAAGTCTGAAGGTCTATGTGGTACGGTTGGATTGGAGGCATTAAGAACGCCAGCCAAAGAGACATCAGCTGTACCGATATCAACATTTACATCTTCTTGGTCGTAAGTTTGAGGTTATATAATTTTTAGTATTTTGAATATAACAATAAATTCATTTTTTTTCTTAATGAATGGTATTACATTTTAAGCCAAAAATAGCATTAATTGAAAGAATACTTTTATTAGTGTAGTGCAAAGACAAAGTTGGAAACTTCATGACTGTTATTCGCCCTAATTGTGTGTAATTTCGTCTCTTCCATTGATTTAATAAAGTCTTAATAGGCATTATTTGAGATTTTTGTTTTAATATTGTGCTAATCATAAAAGGTCAACAATTTTTTTTCTTAAAACTTCAAAAGATTTGCTTCCATAAATCAGCTCTGAATTATTAGAAATAAGGTGTCAATTTAAAACTTTTATCGAGATGTACAAGATGGTCGTGTGATCAAATCCATTAAAGCCGGAGGGCTTAATGGCGCATGTAGATTTGATTAAATCAAATGTTGTCGAAGGTCTTTATTGTACATGTAGATTTGGTTACATGTCAACCCTTATAAATTACTTCCCAATAGAAGTTTAAAATGATATTACGTAACTATATTTACATTTGTAATTGATTTATTTTAAATTGTAAGGTACTATAGTTTACATGTAAACCCATAAAATGTAATATTTTTCAAACCTCAAATGTAAAAAAAATTAATGCGTCGAACACGTTCTGTGAAATAAAGTAGATCGTTTATGAATAATCAGTCAATTTATCGTCACATGACGAAGTTTTTTTTTAAGGAAAAAAATTGCAAAAGTAAATGTTACTTATTACATGTCACGTATCTTCACGATACATTTTTGCTACCAATCTAAATATGCCGATTTTAGAAAAATGAACTTTAAAGCCAGACAAATGTTTTCTCGAAAATGTTTTGATAGATTTTTGTGACACTCTAAGGAATTATCTATCATCTCTTGAAACTTTTTTTGTATTTTTTTAATTAATTTTTTTTTTCGCTTTTTTTTTTTGGTTTAGTTTAGTTTTGGGATTTATTTTGGGGTGTTTTTGGACTTGTTTACCTCACATCGGGTTGCCCGGAAATATTCTCATAAATAGCTCTAGATAGAAACATAAATACTTTCAGGTCGGATACATTAGATACATGTATATATACATGTAGAATCTCCTATGATTTCTAGTTGGGTATGATTTTTATCTAAACAGTTGTGATTTTTATCCCCGAGCTGGAGGATAATAACACAAAACGAGTTTGATAAAAATCTTATCCAACTAGAAATCGTGGAAGATTCTTCTTATGCCATGTTTTATACCATACTATTAATGTTTTACACTACTTTTATATAAAACTCCGCTTCATTTTACATCACTCTAACCAAAAACCCATGGTGACGTCACAATTGTTGGATATGAAAAAAAATATCCAGTGAGTCATATCAAAAGGATAAAGGGGTAAACATTGGATAAATAAAATACGTACGATGGCACTCGAAAGGCATAATGGATTTTTTTTTTTTATTCAACACTTCCTTCCTACGATTTCTCTTCACTTGTAAATAATTTGTTGAAACACGTAGAACTTTCTTTCATCCAATATCAAAAAAGGGCCTGGTCCCTAAAATAAGGAATCTTAAGGGGGCCAAAAGTTTTTAAAATTCTATAACTATTGACAGTTTGTGTCACATTATTAAAACAAAGGTAATCAACAGAACAAGTTGCAGCTGGTGAGAACATCAAAAGTCGTCTAACAGAAAATGCATCATCTTTTCGTTGTTTTGGACACGTTATTGTGTACATTGAGTTACAAATGGGGTCCAAATTTATTTGTCGTAGTCAGAAAAGGCTTATTTCTGTAGGTATTGACACATATTAAAATGGTTTGAGTCAATAATATTGAAAAGAAACATTGAGGACTTCTCATATCATTGTAAATCGAATATTCATCAGAAGTGTGCTATTTTTCACAAATTTATTTAATTGATTAAATAATTTAATTAATTTAAAATTGCTATCATCATGTTTTTACTGATTGGCAAGTTTGTCAGATATAAGAAAGCCCTCAAGCAATTGGTATAAAGAACTATATGTGGTATATTGCATATATTTGCCCCCACAAAAGTCCAATTTTGAAAACTTCCTGAAATGTGCTGAATTCAATAAATTATATGAGAAATATAAATTAACAGAAAATATTATAGTGTCAAAGCAGTGTATTCACAATTTTTGTTTTTATGACGTCACAAACTAGTCTGATTTTATATCCTTTTTCAGAAAAAGGACAAAATGGACAAAATTTCAACAATTTTAGCTTTAAAATTTATAGAGCGCAAGTTTGTTCAGGAACAATATTGACATATTTCATTGATATTATCATTCTACATATTATATCAAAATATTGATCCTTAACACACATGCGCTCGGTGTTTTTTACTCAAAATATCGACGAAATATGTACATTTTTCTGTAAATTTCATAAAAAACTGAAATTTACGTAATGTTTGTGACAACATTACGTACATATGGCGTCATTACGTATGAAAATATTCAGTGCTTTGAAGTCAGCATATACTCCCCTGTTTAAGAACTTAATTAAATACATCTCCCTCAGAATTTGATTGAGGGGGGCAAATATTGGTTATTACCGAATAAAGTTCTTTGATAACGATCAACCAATGATTATTGTTGTCCCTTACATCACCTATCCCTGGTATTAGATTTCCTGATATTTAAAAGCTTATTTAAAAGCTTGTAACACAAACTTTTAATTTGCACACAAAAACTAATCATTCTTGTCCTAACATTATTTAAAGCAAACCAGAATCTGCCTTATTCTTCGAATACCATAACATTTGGAGTACATTGTAGATGATTTAAATATAAACATTTGAAATGCAATTACGTAACTAAAACAGATGGAGAAATAAAAACTGCTCAATCCACTCAGATTTAACTAAAGTTTTAACTAAAGGTGCTTGTGGACAGGACAACGCCTATTGCTTATTTAAATTTTCTTAAACGTTTTCACATCCCTTTAAGTTTATGCGTTATTACACAAATTAAATACATTGACGTATTAATGAATTTGTTAAACTTGTCATTTTATATTCTTTCTTTATAAAAGAGGGTGGTTTTAGTTGTACTGTGGTCAGTTTTTTTCACCTGTGGGGGCTCTTTAAATGCAAAGGCGCCCATTAAACGACTTTCAACGTAAAAAAAATCGCTGTCTAATGATGTTTACATAAATTTCATTGCTAAAATTAAAGGAACTCTTTATTTACTGTTGTTGGGTCTTTGTCTTCACTGGACTTCTTGTGCAAGTAAACTTTGACTGTCCCATGCAAGATATTGATCAAAGGAATCTTACATCAAACAGCCAAACACTGCACACGCATTCGTTGCATTCAACGATAAGGAGTAAAGTCTAAGTAATGAATTTAATTGTTTTGGAATTTAGACAATAGTGCTTTTCTAATTTATCTTGCATAAGCATGCTGATGACTTTTACCAAACTAAGCCGTCATAGTGTTATCATATTATGACGTCATATATGCAACTAGGACATAATGTTTACAACATGTTTAGATTTAAATAAAGCACTATACGATACAGGAGGTGTTTTTTATATTGGTTTTACATTCTAACCTGAATCAAGAAATAAAAAATTATTACATTTTTTTATCATATGAATAGCAGCACTGAAATGTTCTGAATTCGTATACAACGTCAAATGCAAAATCCCAATCTAGAACAATCTATTATTTCTACTAGTTTATCTGAATAAGCATATTTCCCGGTTAGGGGAAAATAGCATTATTTTCTTGCGAATGACTTGTCAAAATTGTTTTCTCCAAAATTCTTTAAAACACAAATGCTAAAAAAAAAAGACGGTCTGTCGGTCCACCATCTAGTTTCCGTTCATTTTCTTCACAGAGGTTACACATGTTGAAATGAAAATTAGTACTAGTATACAGGTTTGTCATAAGAATATCTATGTCAAATTTTGTTTTGGATATGACCGGGCCATTTGGGACAGAGTAACATGTATGCCCCTTGGACTAAGAAAAATTCCAATAATTGCAGTTTCCGTTCATTTTCTTCACATATTGAAATGAAATTTGTTATACAGATTTATCAAAAGAAAGTCTAGATCAAGTCCATCTTTGGATATGATCAAGCCACTTTCAAAAGTTCTGTCCCTTGTACTTAGAAATTTCCAGTAATTTGGGGAAGGAGAGCATAAGTATTTTACAAACATTTCTCGTTTAATTTGCATTACAGGGATAATTATTGGTGACAAATTCTAAGAAAAGAAATATATTTAAAAATTAATTCAACATAATCAATAAAACGTGATAAGCGATAAAGTTAACCCTTATTATTCCACGCACGTTTTAAAAACTTTCTTTTAAGGTCTAAAATGTGCCCCAATGTCAATAAAGCTTTTAATCCATATAATTTTTCAACCGGGATACATAATACATGTATAAGTTATTTGTTACATTATTTGGAAGAAGAATTAGCCAAATTAAGAGGGCACATCCATCTTTGCACATTAAATACGCATTCAAAGTTTTGGGGGAAAGTTTAAAATGAATCATTCTTACTTTTCAAAAAAATATAATAATTGTTTTATCTTTCAGTGTTCTTCACAAGGACAACATGCTTGAGATGGACATCAAAAAATTACAATCATTTCCAAGGTCAAAGAATTCTCGAGATCTTTGTATTTGCAAGAAACCAGATACGTATGTCGCGGGTAATATCATTGATACCCTGACATGCACAAATGAAGAAAAAGAATTAATAACATGTGAGAAGGATAATCGAAAATCAGTTCAAAAGGATATTTGTTATGAAAGACACAGCAGAAGGAAAAGGTCCACAGATCGTCTATTCACGTATATACCAAACAATTATGTTCACCCCAAGAGGAAAAGAGCAAAGGTAGGTGCATCAAGGAAAATAATGCACTTTACCGGTACGGTCGCCATTTTGATACTACATGTATATCCGTGCGTTATATGGCGCGGCGTAAAAACTTACCCCCCGTTCACACATAGACGCCGTTTCTACTACGATCAAAGCTTTGTCGAAAGCGTGGTCGATCGTAACAAATCGTAGGAGAAATGTCGTGGAGTCGTCATAAGCGTAGTATGATCGCAGTAGGGTCTTCATGATCGGAGAGCTCTACGCTCTCACCACGCTTATTTTGAACATGTTCAAAACAAGCGTAGCGGGATCGTGGCCAACATGAATCGGGGTTAAGTCGTAAAAGGAGCGTAGTAGAAGCGCCGCAATCGTACAAGCAGCGCGAAAGCATCGTAGAGAGATCTTCGTGATCGTAGTAAAAGCGCCTTAAGAGCGTAGGAAATTAATGAGCACGCTCATACAACGCTCCCTCTACGTTTGTACTACGTTCTCACAACGATCTCTCTACGTTCCTGAAGATCCTACGAAGACCTACAATGACCTAACGCCGATCATATCACGACTTATCAGGCAGAAGTTTGTTCTTATAGCGTTGATATTTGACCAATCATCATCTGTAAACTACATGTAAAGGGTGACACTATACTTGATGATCATTTGCAATGGAGACTTTTCACATCTTTTTACAGTTATAATTGAAAATGCCCGTAAACAATGTGGTAAAGGCCGCAAAAAAACTGCGGTCGCATTGCTAAAATCGTACTACAAAAATCTGCGGTTGCAAGATAAATTTCCATCATCACCAAAATCGTACTAGAAGCGTAATGCAATCGTAATATGATCGGCACCACCGTAGCGACATCGCGGTACAGTCATCTAAGTCTGTGTAGCGTCGTAGTATGGTCTTCCATGTCGTAGTGGCAGCGTAGCGTAAACGCAGTAAACACGGCCGCTTGTCGGCAACAGTCTGCGTGATATCGTAGTGGAAGCGTATTAGCAACGCGTTTGACGTAGGGACATCGTAGCATGGTCGTTACGAAGACCATAATTTGCCAAATTGCTCTATTTAGACGCCGATCGATCTGCCCCGATCCAAAACTTTTTCAGATCGTCGCTTGTTCGGTATGATCGCCGTAGAATCGCAGCTCTGTGTGAACGGGGGGTTAGCAATGTATCAATTATAACGAGCGACGCTATATTTTGTTGTGTAATTAAGAAAGTATTGAAGGGAGAAAAAAATTATCTCAATGGGTTTTTGCATTATTAAGGAGGCTGGGAGGCGGTTGTCCCCAATACGTACAAAAAAGATTAAAATACATGTACGTACAATAACTGAATTAAAATACCTCACCATGATTACCTTAGTAGTTGAATAATTCTGCGCTAAGACTCAGAGCTGTAACTTAATGTGTCGCTATAGAACTTTATATTGTATCTTTATTTTTACAGTTTTAAATACGTTTGTTATGGGTGATGAAGGGGGTAAATTTATTGTCAATATTTAACTATAACTACAGTCTTAGTTTCGCTTTTGCATTCTTGTTTTAGTAGCGATGTTTTTTAAACTGCATTGTTACAACACGAAATGTAATAGCAACGCGAAATGTAATAAACCTGGATTATAACATATTGCGTAATTACATTTTGAGTCGAAATCAACGCAGATTGTAATAATGCAAAATGTACCAACACACTTTTGAGAATTATTACATTTTGCGTTAATATACTTTGTGTCGAGATCAACGCAAAATGTAATAACCGATTTTTGGATTATTACATTTTGCGTTGTTACATTTTGCGTCAAGTTTTAGCAAAAAGCAGGAAAGCAAAATGTAATAACACTTTTTTCGTCACCAGATTGAGTAAAATTTTCAATAGTGTATTGGCCGATGAAAAGAAACACAATTATTTTGAATTGAAACCGAGACGATAATTCTTTGAAATTAATTTATAGAAGTTCGTTTCAGTAAGTTCCCATAGACTATGAACTTTCATTTATGATTATAAAGAGTTTATATAATCCCAGTAGGGGAAATATTACACAAGAAATTCTTTTCTCAAAGACAGAGTACCGATTAAGAAAAATCTGGTAAACACTGGTGAAGGACCCGATCAAGCAGCGGAATAGCCAAACCGACAATTGTTATTCGGGTTTCATATAAATAAATCATGAAATACAATGTAGGAACAAATAAATATTGAATATTAAGGAATTCGTTTTATTTATTCGAAAACAATCATTGTTGTTGATATTAAGTAAATTACCTTTAAAATACGATTGAAAACGTGCAATGGCATTATTTACATATACTTCCGGTATCTGTAAAAGTAGAACTTCGTTGATGGCAACTGAAAATTCAGGATTTCATTTACTTATTTTTTTGCGATTGAATTTTTTGCGATTAAGACTTGATCGCAGAATTTCGCAAAAAATAGCACCCCGTAGAAAAATCCAGTTATATATGTGTTATTGGTTGGAAAGAACGAGTGCACTTATGAGCCCAGGCAAAATGAGAAAAAATAAACATTCAAATTAAGCAAAATTTTTCATCCCAAATCATTTATTGATATCTAAACCGTAAGATTCAATAAATTTTACCGCTGAAATTCACGAATTTACAAAGAACAAAACCATAGAATGCGGCAGGGGTCAGTCGACGTTTGTGATTTTCTATGATAAATCGAGAACGGTCATTAAACTTGTGCGAATGACAAAAGACGCATTATACATTTATAAAACTTGTGTGAAAGGAGGAAATTTGTACACGATTAGGCTGGTAGTTAAAATATTTAAAATGTACAAAAAGTACAATGTTTTTCCTATAGCAAGTGAGACCCATGTTGAACCCATGTTGACCCATGTTGAACCCACTCGTGGAATAAATTATTTAAAATACTTATAGTCACGTGAGTTCTACCCCGATAAACATTCCTCAAAGGTGCTCACTGTAAAACATCGGCAAGTTTTTTTTATCATTTAGTCAAAGTCGCGCCGTTTTGAAATATTTCTATGTTTTATATCTTAGATTACGGTAGGGTAAAGAGAGTTTAGCGCCATTCATAAAAAGACAATGAAACAGGTATTGAAAGCCACCTAAACACTCCTTTTAGATTTCAAATTCAATGAAACTTTTATTGTGTATATTTTTTTGAAATGTAAGAGTACCATTTTCTATGTTTGATTATCATGGCTACAGGCACTACACAACTTCTTTCAATTTTTAAAACAGATATAGCACAAAAAACTTACATTCCACTACACAGCCAATTGTGCCTAACGTTAATTTAACATGAAAATAACGTTAATTTAACGTTAAATATTTAACGTTAAATTAACGTCAATCGAGCTTATACATGAATTTAACGTTAAAAAATTAACGTTAATTTAATGTTAACCTTTTTAATGTTAACTTAACACGAAAGTAACATTAAACTAACATCAAGCTTACGTTAATTTAATGTTAATTGAGATTAACACTAAATTAACGTTAGGCACAATTGGCTGTGCGCGAATTGTTTTATTACATTTTGCGTTGTCTTCAGTGCAAAAATAAAATAACGCAAAATGTAAGAAGGAAAAAGCACGTTATTACATTTTGCGTCGAGATCAATGCAAAATGTAATAATCTAAAAATCGTGTTATTACATTTTGTGTTATTACATTTTGCGTTGATCTCGACGCAAAATGTAATAACGCAAAATGTACTAAGCCGGGTTTATTACATTTCGTGTTGTTATTACATTTCGCGTTGTAATACTGCATCCCGTGTAGTCTCAGCAGTACTTAACGATTGGTTTAGTATCCAGTGCTTTGCAATTGAAATTTCAGGGTACTTTACATCGTAAATCCAGGAGTACATGTATGTTAAATTAAGTGCATCCTCTGTTTCAAGAAATCCAAGATGTGTCTCTTGTGTTAAATTTTTCTGCCGATTGTTACATAGATCTCCGAACAAGACTCTTCTCACTACATATTTACATGTTTTGTCCTTCCACTTATTTAACATTTCCATAAACAGGGGTCACATTATCGCTAAAATTCCCATGAAGTTCAGAATTTTGCAGCCAGTCTATTAAAAATTTCCATTCAAAGAAAACAGTATACACTGTACAAATCATCGTAAACAAGGTACACGCTGAATCATTGTTTACAATCATATAGAGTGGAAATCTTTCTCTTCACGTCTATATCACAGCACTGAAATAAGTCAAAATACTTGATTGGTGTTTCATACCTATTTCTATCTTTAGAGAGCAATTACCGTTGTCATGACTGAACCTGAAGCAAAATTATGGTGCGAGAATTTCTTGAATAACTCTCCTGGATTTGTAGCATGCAAAGCTGTACCCAACATGAACATTGAAAGAGCAGTGGAAATCTGTGTTTTGGATATTCTGGTATTATTCGTTGCAATTCTCTTTTCGGATCAAAATTCTTATTTGATTCATGGGGATTACATGTACATAGCAGAGATCACTTTTTAGAATCAAACAACTTATCAAAGAGAATTGTTTTTAAAAAAAAATCTGTTAACCATCATAACTGAAATTGTCATCCGTGTACTTTCAGGCTACGAATTCAACAGTATTTGCTAGCGCGCCACGAGAAAGTCTAAAGTCATCTTGTTTAAAGGAACTCGATCAAAATGAAACTCTTAGAAATACTTCTGAAAATGGAGAAAATCTAGCAGAAAAGATTTTCTCCTTAGCGTGTCCAAATGATTGCAGCGACAATGGCATTTGTAGGAACGGTATGCTTTTTTCAAATTCTGTTAACCATATAAAACAGTAACATAAACTAAACGACCCCGATACTAATGTATTTTCTAGTTACAAAGCAAATAGAATATCTACCAAATATCTTTAAAGAACTGTTCTAAACAGGAAAACAAAAAAAAATCGGCAAACTGATATACTTTAAAATCATAAAAGGCTTTATTCAACAAAGTATGCGTTCATACTTCACATAATATGTATTGATTGTGACAGAACTTGCAATAGGTAGAAAATTTTAGACCTTTTCACATTGACCTTAGAATTTTACCCACTTTCAAACAAATTTTTATCTTGGCCATTAGTGAGCAGATAGCACCAGGGATTTTCATATTTCACAGTTGTGTGTAACAAGACCTTTCTTTGGATACCAACACTTTTAACCTTTTGACCACGACCTTTGAAGCTTAACTTCCAAATGAGAAATTTCAATCCTCTCCATTAACTACTATACGGGGAGTTCAGTGTTACACAAGCACATCTTATTTCAAACTGCGTTATGTATTATGATAAACCAGAAGTCTCTGTCGAGACTGTAGCTCTACTGGTTTATACTTAAAACAAAGGAAGATAAAAGTAGCAGTTGCGACTTGAAACTTTAAAACAGCAATAAATAGATAAATGATCCTTGTCACTCATCAAAACAAACACCGATGCAGAGAATTATGTATCTTAGTTTTGACCAAAACTATAGGAGGAGTACATGTAGCATTTTGAAAGAATTTCAAAGGAATTTCTATTTTTAGTAACCATGGCAATACCATTCATCGAAATCAAAAATTGATGCACAGAATTATGTATCTTAGTGTAGTCTACTTGTGTGCCAAGTGATATTGAAATCGAACCAAAACTGTAGAAGGAGTCGCATTTTGAAAGAATTTCACAGAAATTTCTATTTTTAGTAGCCTCGGCAACACCATTCATCGAAATCAAACACCGATGGACAGAATTATGTATCTTAGCGTAGTCTACTTGTGTGCCAAGTTATATTGAAATCGGACCAAAACTGTAGGAGGAGTAGCATTTTGAAAAATTGTTTACAGACAGAAAGACAGACAGACAAACAGACAGACGGACGGACGCATTACTATCGCATAAGCTCTTCTGGTCTCTGACCAGTAGAGCTAAAAACGAGCTGTAGCAGTCTTTGAGCACAAATAATAACTTTAGACCTTTTCTAAGAAACTATGATAAAATTTCTCATAAAAACAAAATCTAATTATGCATCAATCTTTTTTAAGTGTGCTATATTTGCGTGCCAATGAAGTATACATATTTTACTTTAAAATGTTTTAGCGTTAATTTTCTATTATGAAATTTAAGAAAATTGAAACACGATTCATCAAAATTAATACTTGTGTGGAAAAATCGTTCTTTGCAAAAGACGTCTCTTTCTCTGTCGCAGGGGGGAATTAAAAAATTAAATTATGATCCTTTCTATTTGAAAACAGGTACCTGCAATTGCAGTGAAGGATTTGGAGCCGGAGATTGTTCCATCAATCTCAATGATCCACCGGTGGTGTTTGCTGTCAACTACGAAACTGGGGGACTTTGTGATAAGTTATATTGCAAAGTTGCCGTTGTTGAGGGAGACCAGTTTTTAAATAGACCGGAACTGACATGCAAAATGAAACGTTTCGAGGTATATGTATATTATTTCCTTAAAACTTTGTAAAATAAAAAAGGTGTCCTATAAATTCACATAATAACAAAAGCAAAGATATATTTATTAGTCTATAAAAAGGTGTCTCAATTAAAAAAAAGGTTAAAGTAAACTCTTTAAAAATTACTCAATATATAGATATTGCACAAACATAAAAATAAAGGTTTGCAGAAAATTACGCAGACACAATTATTTCAGATACTTTATTGCGTAGTCTGAAGAATAAGGAATGTCGTTTAAATCACTGTGCTTTATATTAGTATGTAAATAGTCAAAGATGCTTACTTAAGGAGAGATAATATATACATTTTTTTGTCACAAGTTTAGAAAAATGGATAATTCTTAGAATTTTTCCCCTAAGAACTGGAAAATGAAATAGGCTTGGATAATATTACTAATATTTCAATATAATTACAGAAATGGACAAAACACACTCAGAAAAGGTTTACAGATAAAAACAAAGGATGACTGCGCTTAACGCCGGTTTTTGGGTCTTTTTCAATTTCTGTTGTCACATTTATTTTGGTTTTTATTTTTGCCTTAAGTCATTTGTTATAGAGATTAGTCTATGCCCAAATGAAATGCAATGTCATAATGCATGGTTATAAACTGCGATGCAATAAAATAATTCGTTGTTTTCTTATCCCACTTCTCTGCAAATATCGGGAAATTTGACTTATCTGCCCTTTATTGAAGGTAAAATTTATAAATATGCACAAGAGGTGGAGCTAATATTGTAATGAGTGGTCTAAAATTAGAATAGTTACTGTATTTATATTTGGTGCATTTCGCTCTCTCTCTCTCTCTCTCTCTCTCTCTCTCTCTCTCTCTCTCTCGACATCTGTTTTTCACTATTATTTTTTAATCATTCAAATAAAGAATATAACTAATAACATCGACCGGTAGAAGTAGCCATTGATAAACAACAGCAATGGCTGATGATAATAATTCGCTTGTTCGAATATAAGTACCGATTAGCTCAGTTGGTAATGCACAGAATCAATAATATTGAGGTCCGGGATCGAGACCCGCTACATGTAACAACAGTAAGACGTACTTTATTTTTCCCTTTTTATAAAAAGAAAGAAAGAAAAACACCACAATTATACTAAAGGTGTTTTTGTTTCTTTTAAAATTATTTTTCCTCATAAATTAAAGGGTTGAGGATGATGTGATTTCATTGTTATTTACTGGGTCTTATTTTGGATGTTCATGTTAAGCAATGGTTCAAAACATAAAAAAAGAACTGTTTTTTTGTAGACTACGAACATGTAGAGGCATATAATACACTCAAAAATACATGGATTAAATATAGTAAAATAAAACGCTTTTGAGATAAATATAAGAATAATCTTATAGATATCTAAGAATAAAGAGAATAGCCCGTGGCTCGATTGGAATGGATTGAAACAGATATGGACAATCACTATCGCCCAGCAGAATGCGTGTTTCCTTACAAGTCACGTGATGGAATTTTAGTATTCACAGAGTTACCTGGGTATAGAAGTCACGTGGTTAATTATAATATTCAACAGGTAACAACGTGGTCAAAATGGCCTGTTTACTATAGATCAAAGTGAACACACGAAGAAACAGTTTTTTCTCTTTTTAACCATGAGCGCATGTTTGTCTATTGATCTCCTTTTAATATGAGGTAATATATATAAATATACAACTACCATAAAAAGGAGAACAATAGACAAACATGCGCTGACTATGTATTAAGCCTGTAAAAACGTGGGCGTACTCGTTATCCTATGGAGATTCCAGAATATGCGATAATCCCTCCCTATAAAAACGACTTCGAACTTCGTTAATACGAACTTTTAATTAACGTAATTACACAAAGTTGCAGTTAACACGTTGGCCATTTCTACCATTAAAAGAAAAATATTCATTTTTAGAATTAATTATATCGCAATTTCTAAGTTTCCTCAAGTGCAGTCATCCTTTCAGAATATGTTACCTTGGTGCTAAAAGTGTAATATAGACTTAAGAAAAATATACCAAGCCAGGTGAATTTTATCAGGAAAAGCAAAATGGTAAAAATCAGTCAGTGTGATATTGCTGATTTTCTGTCATTTTGTTTCTGTTAAAAATTTCTGAGAATTATCCACTTTTCTAAACTTGTGACATGATATTAGGTCTCCTCCGAAGGAAAGAAATTGTTAGTATCATCTGTCCTGAAACAAATTAAAGATATACGTGCATGTAAAATACAATTACTCAGTTTTACTGCAAGATATATTGTACGAATATATCCAAGTAACATGCTAAAATACACACAAGGTACATGTAACTTTAGTCTTTCTTTCTTTTTTTTTTTTTTAATTCTATTATCTATATTATGTAATGAATTATTCATTTTCTATTAACGATTGTCCAATTCTTATTATACATATATACATGTATGTGTGTGTAGTTGAATGTATTTAGTTCTAGAAATTTCAATTAGTTTCTTATTTTCATGGGTTAATAGATGAACATGAATGGCACAGCCCTGGAGTTAGAAACAACGTTAATTCCTGGAGATCACAACACGATCGGTGATATTCGATGTAAATTTCCTCACTCTATTTCAAAGAGATCGGTATCAAAGACAGCTTTTGTTACTGGATATCACGTTTCTGTCAGTAATAACAAAAGAAATTTCAGCGATGTCCATCCAATATATATCTTGGATTCCACTTGTCAAGACACGGTGAACGTTTCTGGTCAACTTCGGTTTGCTTTGAAGGTTACACCATTTTCCACACTTTGCTAGAACATTGTTCCTTATTGAATACTCCTGGTATTTTAATCATGTAGAATATCCTGATTTTGCTTAGAACGTTGCTGAATATAAGTTAAAATTGTATGCACTGTGTTTTGCGATGCAAAAAAGTTATATCTTTATGTTTTAATGTATTTTTATAGAAAGTCTTCGCTATATTATGATCAATTTATTTTTAACAAAACAATAGTGTGTCAGCTTTAAGAAGTAAAAATTACCTAAATTTGATTTTCAATAATATCTTCCAAATGCAATTTCTTCAAAAACAGGCGGGGTTCTGTTTCATTCATGGTTCATGCTTAGCGGATGGATTTCAAAAGGGGTGCTACGAATGTGATGTTCTCCGAAACACATTTGAATGGTCATTTCGAGGAGATGTCAAAGGTATTTTATGAACACTACTGTTATTAATAAAAGAATGCACTTTTCAATTAGTATTTACCTCTAAACTATTGAAATTTAATTAATATCAAATTAATTTGAACTACAATCAAAGCAAGCAAGATGACGAAAATCAAAATTATATTATATAATTATCTACTATAATATGTTTAGGCTGTAAAGTGGAGAAAGAGAAATCAGATTCAAAGCTGTGGATTATTGCAATAGTTTTCGCCGTTCCTCTCCTAGTTGCTATAACTTTACTGTTTCTTTATATAAAAAAGAAGAAGGAGAGGTAAGTATTCTTTAAATTAAAAGAAAAACGCCATGTTTCCTCAAAAAAATACTTTGACACCACTGTGAAGTAAAACTGACGAAAAATTAAAATTATAAAGAAAAAGTACATTATTGACACATTATTTAACTCAATTATATGCCGAGAATAATGATTCATATTTATATATGGAGATACATGTAACGATCAGTATATTCACGCTCAGAAGTCCATTAAAGTAAAACAAATCGGGAGCTAAACAAACACGGACCTTTAAAAAACAGTCGGGTGCCATGGAGGGGTAAGCATCCCCTGTCGATCGTTACATCTCCGATTGCTACTTATGATCGAAGAAAAACGTCGAAATCCGTCATCATACAATGTACAAATAATGACCAAACAATTGTATAGCAACAAATTAATGTTCTATTGTTTAACAGAAATTTAAAAATCTGACCTCTTTATTTCTTTCAGAGTTATTCATGACAACAGCATGTTGGCTGGACCATCATCAGACACTCCAAAATCTATGAAATATAATACAAATTATAAATACTGACTCAGAGAAATACATTTTTGTTTTATGGAGAAAACAAATTGTAGTGAAGTTTTTGTATCCGAATATCCAATAAATTGATTATAAAAGCTCATATCGTTGCTTTCTATCACGTTGAGGTTAGAGGTTGAAAGGAACAAAATATCTGCATGTATTATTTTCTCTAGAGAGGGAATCAATGCTACAATGTAGCTGTACTTTGATTGTTCATCAAGGTAGTCCGATCCTCAGATTTCTCAAATCAGGCGTTTAAAATACTCACAAAAAAATTCCTGAATTCTTTGTCATTTCAAACTTTATCATTAATTATATTATACTGGGTGGTATATAAAAAAAATATCAAATTTACATTCACGAAAGTGAATGCAAACACTTACATGTAACTTGTGTTTTGGGATTGAATATTGATCAATATATTTTAGGATTAAAAAAATTATAGGTATCCAGGTGAATTGTGGAATAAGAAGATTTAAATTCCAAGGTTCATTTTCATTTTGAGAAATTTGAATAAAATGAAAAAGTAAAGAGTTACCCTTCCTGGCTATAAGGATCCCATCACCTTACGCGATTGCCTCTCTCTCTCTCTCTCTCTCTCTCTCTCTCTCTCTCTCTCTCTCTCTCTCTCTCTCTCTCTCTCTGCTGGGCCCACTTGTCAATAACGTGTATTTTAAATCATGTCAGTGTATTGTTGTATTTTGATCCTGATAGTGCATCTTAGGTGTAGTCAATTCCAGGTTGAGGATGCAAAAGGTGACGTCATTTAACTGGTGAAAGTTTGATGCAAAATCCATATTTCATTTTTCACAAGTACATGAATATCATTAAAGGCTAAAAGATGGTTCTTATAATGCTCTCTGACCTAAATTTAGATATTTTTATCTCACCTGAGCCGAAGACTCAATTGACTTTTTCTGATAACATTTTGTCCGTCGTCAGTTCATCCGTCTAGCTGTCTAGCTGTCCATCTGTCTAGCTATCTAGTCATCCGTCTGTCTGTCCGTCTGTAAACTTTTCACGTTTTCGACTTCTTCTCAAGAACCACAGGGCCAATTTTGACCAAACTTGGTAAAAGCATCCTTGGGTAAAGGAAATTAAAATTGTTAAATTGAAGGGCCAAGTTCCCTCACAAGGGGAGATAATCAAGAAAAAAACAAAAATAGGGCGGGGTCAGTAAAAAATCTTCTCAAGAACCACAAGGCCAGAAAAGTAGACATTTATGTGGAAGCATCCTATGGGAAAGTGAAATATCAAACCAAATGGACAACCTGTATATTTTATTTCGAATTCCAATTTAAGGTCCGTAACTTTCGATTTCTGTATATTCCAAATTTATCCGAATGATACTTTACTATGATGTTTACCAAAAATGCACGAGCGCCATATTCAGTGTAAAGTTGTGTTCTACATGTTTTAAGTGAAAGTTATTGAAAGTACCAGACATACATCACGGTAATTATCTATTGATTGTTTATTACATGCTGCCGGCTGTTTATATTTACTTGTTTCGTTTAATTGAAGTAGGAGTTTCTAATAATATCAATGTTTACAAAGTTAAATGTAAGGAGCGCTTTTCATGTCATGATTTCTATGGATAAAAGGTTATATTATGTGTACATTTAGTATTGAGTATTATTATTCATTATGTTTAAATTTATTTTGTAGTCAATCTATGTCAGACACATCGAAGGATTTCTATGTGAATATAAATAAAGGACATCGAATTGAACCTGTACTGTCTTTGGTACTAGAGAACACAACATTGACGTGATTCCGTCGCTGAACGGTCCAGGTTATGAGCATAATGCCTGCTACAGAAGAAACAGAACCGGGAACACGAAACAGAAAATTGACTGAAAAAGGAAGAGAATATAAACATGAACAGTACAACAAAATTTTCAGAACACTGAGGTTAACAAGTGGTGCGATTAGACAGCTTATTTCTGATAATGAATCTCCAGAAACAGTAAGAAAAAAGTATGCTTCTTGGCTTGATGATTATGAACATTTTCTTGTGATATTTGATGAACTTGTACCTCAATTCACTGACAAGAATGAGAAAGAAGAATTGCTTAAGGCTCATTATGACTATGATGTGTTCCTCATGAACTTCAAGAAAGAAATAGAAGAGTTCTTTTCCAAACACCAGAGTGTTAAGGAGGAATCACAAAAGTCCAAGTCTCACACATCTATAGCTTCAAGTATTTCGTCCAAACGCCTTGAGGAGGAACAAAGAGTAGCTGAGTTGAAAGCTCGCAAAGCAGCACTTCCCATAAGAAGGAACTAGAGTTAGCAAAGGTGAAACTAAAACTTGAAGAAGAAGAGTTGGATTTGAATACAAATATCGCTATTGCGAATGCTAAAACAGAAGTTCTTCAGAAATATGAAAGATATGAGGATGCTGATTTGCGTGATGTTGATTCTTACATTGATATTGTGAATCCTAGAACATTAGCGCCAAAACCAACGCCAAAAACGCCTTTGTTTCATAGTGACTTTGCGTCAGTACCTTCCTTGTTTGAGAGGCCTTTGAATCCGAATGCAGAGACATTCACACCCAAGCGTGAAGAAATTCCTCCACTTGACCTTCATTGCCTTGATATCAAAACAAAACCACAGATATCTGAATCAGACGCTATACAGTGTGTCGTACAATATCTCCGAAAACCGGTAGCAGAAATAAGGAAATTTGGAGGAAATCCATTAGAGTATAGACGTTTCATTAGACAATTCAATACTAAAGTTGTAACGAATACGAAAGACAATGATGAAAGAATGAATTATCTGGAACAATTGACTTTCGGAGAAGCACACAGAGTAGTGTCTGGATTTAGTCATATGTCGGGAGACAGAGCCTACACAGCAGCAATGAATCAACTTGAAGAGCGGTATGGAGACAATGAGGTAATCGCAACAGCATTCATAAAGAAGGCGTTAGACTGGCCAGCAGTGAAGGATGCAAAGATGCTAGATGAGTTCTCTTTGTTCTTGGTGGAGTGTCAGAATGCAGCTGAAAGCATCGATAGTGTTTCTGTATTAGACTATTCAGATAATATAAAGAGACTTATGACAAAACTCCCTGTGTATATGCATGATAGGTGGAGAAATGTTGTGCTGAAAACTAAGGAAACCAAGAAAACAGTGAAGTTTAAAGACTTTGTTAGTTTTGTGAAAACAGAAGCTAAGAAATCGAACGATCCCACATATGGTAACGCATCTATTGGTGGAAATTCCAAGAATCAGGATCGTAACCAGAAGAGAGCTGTCGCGTCTACTGATGTCACAAGTGAAGTACATGTACAAGACTTTAAAGTAAGAGAACAGAAATGTGAATTCTGTGAAAGTAGTACCCATGCACTGAATGACTGCAAGAAGTTTGTAACCAAAGGACTTCAAGATAGATACAACTTCCTGCGAAATAATGGACAGTGTTATGGATGTCTTAGGAAAGGCCATGTTACTAAAAAATGTAAAGCTAGACTTCAGTGTTCCATATGCAGCAGACGTCACCCTACGATCCTACATGACCCTACGAAATGTGTAGCAAAACCTACAGATGAAGAAAACATTAATCCTGTGTCAACGGATGTCAAAACTACATGCAAGATCTCTAAACCTCAGATCAGTGCCTTTAGTGATAAAGGGGCCGGAGAAACAACCTGTGCTATGGCGATTATTCCAGTGAGAGTAAAACTGAAAAATAAACCATATAGCATAGAAACTTATGCATTCTTTGACTCTGGCAGCAGTGTGTCATTTTGTACAGAAAACATAATGCATAGACTTGGAGCAAGCGGGAAGAAGAAACAAATCACCATAAAAACAATGGGGGATTCCCAGAAACTAAACACGTACGTCGTCAGTGGGTTGCAAGTATGTGGACTTTCGATGGAGCATATTATAACTCTACCAAATGTGTACACGAAAGAATGCATGCCCGTATCAAAGGAACACATTCCAACACAGCAAGAATTAAAACAGTGGCCACATCTGTCAACGATTCAAACATCTGAAATTGATGCAGAAATTGGAATTATGATTGGGAATAATGTACCTGATGCTTACTCTCCATTCGAGGTAATTGCTGGGCCAAGCGGTTCTCCTCATGCAACAAGGACTAGACTAGGATGGATCGTATGGAATGTCATAAGGGAAAATGCATCAGATACATTTGACGTAAACAGAGTGGCTATAGAAGATGCTCAGGAAAGAGACAGAAACTTAGAAAAAATGGTGAAAGATTCCATAAACTATGACTTTCCAGAACGTCTTGAAGATGATGTGAAAGAAAACTCTTTAGAAGATAAGAGCTTCTTAACTCAAGTTTCAGAATCGATTCACATTCGAGATGGTCATCACTCGATTGGACTTCCGTTTAAGGATCCTTTGATTCAGTTACCCAACAATATCATGCAGGGATTTCAGAGACTTGAGAGTCTGAAGAAGAAACTGATAAGGGATCCAAAGGTTAGAAATGACTATGTGACTTTTATGAACAAACTGTTTGAGAAGGGATATGCGGAACCTGTTCCCCAGAGTCAGTTACAAAGAGAGGACGGCAGAGTATGGTACCTCCCACACCATGGAGTTTACAATGATAAAAAACCAGGGAAAATCAGAGTTGTGTTCGACTGCTCTGCAGTTTATATGGGGATTTCACTAAACAGCCAGTTACTCCAAGGACCCGACCTTACAAATAGTTTACTTGGTGTACTTTTAAGATTTCGTCAGGAGAAAGTTGCTATTCAAGGAGATATTGAAGCAATGTTTCACCAAGTATCTATCCCTGAACAAGATCGAGACTGTCTAAGATTTCTGTGGTGGAAGGACGGCAATCTGGATGCCAGCCCTGAACAATACAGAATGAAAGTTCACATCTTTGGAGCCACTTCCTCTCCTACTTGCTGTAACTATGCACTACAACAGACAGCTAAAGAATATGGTTCTGACTTTGACCCTACAGTTGTGACCACAGTACTCAGGAACATGTATGTAGATGACTGTTTGTCTTCGGTTGACACAGAGAAGAAAGCAGCGTTACTCATTGAAGATCTGTCTACACTTTGTAGTAAAGGTGGCTTCCATCTGACAAAATGGATAAGTAATTCCAAACAAGTGTTAGAATCTGTTCCAGAAGAAGATCGAGCCAAAGATGTGCAGAAATGGAACCTCGAAGGTGAAAGTGAAACACTCGTCGAACGTGCACTAGGTGTGTACTGGCTTGTTAACAGTGACCGTTTAGGATTCCTGATAAACATTAAAAATCAGCCAACGACCAGAAGAGGAATTCTATCTATAGTGAGTTCAATATTTGATCCTCTTGGTATTGTATCACCTTTCGTGATGACAGCAAAGACACTTCTTCAAAAAATGTGCAAAAATTCAGTTGGATGGGATGAAGAGATTACAGGAAGTCAACTAAAGGACTGGAAAAATTGGCTGACACAAGCAAAAGAACTTGAAAATGTGACACTTGAAAGATGCTACAAACCACAGGACTTCGAGAAGACGACATGTCAGGAGTTGCACTGTTTTGCCGATGCAAGTGAAGTTGGAATTGGAGTTGTGATATATCTACGACTCGTCAGTGAAACCGGAAAAATTCACTGTTCCTTCGTTCTTGGGAAATCGCGGGTGGCACCATTAAAAACAGTGACAATACCGAGACTTGAGTTGACGGCATCAACCTTACGACCCTTTTTTTTTTCGATTCGGAAAAAAAATGAAATATTTCCGGAATTCGTTCTGTCACCGTTTTTGGCTCCCATGTTATAAATACAAAACAAAATGGTGGCACCATTGTAAAACAGTGATACCAATTATCTTTGCAATTGTCTTGATATACTTTAATTTTATTACCAAATCCAAGTGCACAAAAGGATCAGTTGGCATTGAAAATTATCAAGTATACTCTGGTCAATCTGTTATTATCACAGTCTGACTTCTGGATAATTACTTTTACAACTTGCAATGTCAGTAAATACATACATATATTAAATGAAAGGTGGGACTAATATCAGTAAAATACCCATTGCATGGACTTTATCTTCGTTATATAAATGTAAACAAAATACTATTTCCCACTTTTTAAAAAAGAAATTTCAATTAACATTTGTTCAGATTTAGTTCCTGTTCACTAAAATATTTCATTTCATCATCTTTGTTTGTTTTTTGTTTTTTGTTTTAGATTTCAAATAGTAAACAACGATAAAATTAACCTGCTCAGAAATCAAATACAGTGTAATCTAACAAAGTTCATGGTTTCTGTAACACATATGGTCCTTCGCTGAGTGACAACAGTGTTCTGTACCACTTGAGCACTTGTGATATGTTTAATTTGATCATCAACCTTAAAATAAAAAAATAAAATAAAATAATTTTCCTACCTACCTACCCTATTTTTTTTAGCTGGTAGTGAAATTATGCAAGATAGTCACAAAACAGTTGGATTACCAAATTGATCAAGTTTACTTCTGGACAGATAGCATGTCAGTTCTTCGTTATATAAAGAACACGAAAACTCGCTTTCACACATTTGTCGCAAATAGGCTTGCCATTATTCATGCAGCAACTACAATAAACCAGTGGCACTATGTCACCTCGAAATTAAATCCAGCAGACTGTGCATCAAGGGGAATACCAGTAGTGAGTAGATTTCTAGATTCAGCATCATGGTTCAGCGGCCCTGAGTTTTTATGGAAACCAGATGTTTCATGGCCATCTACTGAAATCGCTAGTGACTTGTTAGAAATTGACAGTGCTGAAATTAAGGAGAGTGTCAACACAGCAGTTGAGACAGAAACAGTGGAAGGAATGGAAAGATTACTCCAGCACTTCTCTTCATGGAAGAAGCTGAAAACAGTGACTGGATGGCTACTCTTAGCACGAGAAAACCTCAAAATAATAGCAGAGAGGAAAAGTGAACAGAGATCAAGAATGATATCAGAGGGATTTACAGAAGAGAAAATACAAGAATTGGAAATGAAGGAGAAGCATGACAGATTGAAAAATGTTAAACAAACTGAAAGACCTTCATTAAATGCAGACATTCTTGACAAAGCAGAAACAAACATTTTGAAGTATGTGCAGATGAAGTATTTTGCCCAAGAATTTAAAGACTTGAATTCAAGTGAAAATGGAGTTGTAAAAAGGTCATCAAAACTAGCCAAGTTAGACCCAATTGTTCACAATGGAGTTCTACGTGTAGGCGGTAGACTTAAGAAACTGGATACAACTCTAAACAGTAAACATCAAATAATTATTCCTAAAGAGTCTGTATTAGCCAGATTGATAGCAGAGGAAGCACATAAATCTGTCGGACACTTGGGGAAAAATTCAACGCTGGCACGTATCCGTGAGAAATATTGGATTCTTGGTGTGTCATCAATTGTGAAGTCAATCATTTCCAGATGTGTTATATGCAGAAAATATCAGGCACCTGCTTTGAAACAGAAAATGGCGGACCTTCCCAGCGAGAGACTAAAAGCTGATGAACCCCCCTTTACTCGAGTGGGCATGGATTATTTTGGTCCGTTTGAGCTTATAAGAGGAAGAAGCATAGTAAAACGATACGGTGTCATATTTACTTGCCTATCTTCTCGAGCTGTACATTTAGAGGTTGCCTTTTCCTTGGATACAGACTCCTGTATTGACGCCATTCGAAGGCTTATTGCACGACGAGGAAAACCAACTTATATACTGTCTGATAATGGAACAAATCTGGTAGGAGCAGAACGTGAGCTAAGAACAGCGCTGAATTCCTGGAATATGAACAGAATTTCTAGTCAATTATTACAGTCAGGAATTGAATGGAGCTTTAATCCACCAGCTGCGTCTCACTTCGGAGGAGTATGGGAACGCCTCATTAGGATAGTCAGGAAAATCATGTATTCTGTTCTGCATGAACAAACGATTCATTTGGATGATGAGGGACTGTTAACCTTGTTTTGTGAAATTGAAGCCATCATGAATGGACGACCTCTTACAGAAGCTTCAAATGACCCAAATGACCTTTGTGCACTAACGCCAAATCATATACTACTCATGCGATCAGGAGAGAGTTTTCCCCCTGGAATTTTCCATGCATCGGACAACTACGCAAAACGTCGATGGAAACAGATACAGTATTTGGCTGATGTGTTTTGGACGCGTTGGATCAAAGAATATGTACCCCTTCTCCAACAGAGACAGAAGTGGCTGAAGCAGGAAAGAAACTTACAAGAAGGTGATTTAGTTCTCATCGTGGAAAACACTCCAAGAAACACATGGAATCTCGGCAGAGTGTTAGAAGTGATAAAGGACAAGTATGATGTTGTGCGCGTTGCAAGGATAAAGACAGTGTCTTCCATTCTCACGCGACCAGTCACAAAGCTTTGTCTTCTTTTGGAAACAGATTGTGAAAAAGAGAAAACAAATCAGTGAACCTCCGTGCAGTTAAACGTAAAGTGATTGAACTCATTTTAGATGATTGTTTTGTCCATTTTTGATTTATTAAGAAATATGTTTTTGTAAAAACACATTTAGGGGCCGGTGTAATGGACAACCTGTATATTTTATTTCGAATTCCAATTTAATCCGTAACTTTCGATTTCTGTATATTCCAAATTTATCCGAATGATACTTTACTATGATGTTTACCAAAAATGCACGAGCGCCATATTCAGTGTAAAGTTGTGTTCTACATGTTTTAACTGAAAGTTATTGAAAGTACCAGACATACATCACGGTAATTATCTATTGATTGTTTATTACATGCTGCCGGCTGTTTATATTTACTTGTTTCGTTTAATTGAAGTAGGAGTTTCTAATAATATCAATGTTTACAAAGTTAAATGTAAGGAGCGCTTTTCATGTCATGATTTCTATGGATAAAAGGTTATATTATGTGTACATTTAGTATTGAGTATTATTATTCATTATGTTTAAATTTATTTTGTAGTCAATCTATGTCAGACACATCGAAGGATTTCTATGTGAATATAAATAAAGGACATCGAATTGAACCTGTACTGTCTTTGGTACTAGAGAAATCATGACCCTGGGGGTAGGGCGGGGCCACAATGGGGAATCAAAGTTTTACATAGAAATCTATACGAAAAATCTTTGAAAATCTTCTACTCAAGAACCCCGAACGAAGTCGGGGACGACATATTGATATTGTACGCATGTTTTTTTTTATCCAGGCTGTTTCTCGGAGATGGCTGGGACAATCTTCCTGAAACTTTCCTCAAAGGACGATCACTGGTTGTAGTTGTGCAGTGAGGTCGTTCAGTTCCAATATGTCTACGGTTGCCATGGAAACCTGTAAAAAGCGACGAATTTTGTCCGCGAGTGTTCTCTCTGGTCCCTTAAACGTTCGTCATGAAACTTTTTTTATTTTAATGATTAGTATCTGTAGTTGTGCGATTTGCATTTAAAATTTTCAAATAGTCGATTATTGCCATGGAAACCAGGGGAATGTTAAAATTCTTTAATTTCGATTTTCTCAATAACTACTCAAGCAATCGTTTTGAAACTTTCAATGTTAATTCCTTGCAATGTGTCAAAGTGATTTCTACTTTTAAAATAATTGTAATGAGTCGCTTACAGTTGTCATAGAAACGAAACAGAAAAAAAGGTTAAGATGTACACATGTGTTCTCCAAGGTCTAGGTCAAAGGGTCAAAGTTCTTCGTGTCCAATAAAAGATCTTTTCACAAGGATTACATATTTGAAATACGAAAGCCCTAGCCCTTACCGTTCAAACGTAAGGTACTATGTTCAAGACGACCCCCCCCCCCCCCCCGTTTACAAGTAACGTTTTAAAAGTTTCATTCATAAAATTCAGTTCTCCTGATGTGATTTGATAGTTTGCCCACATTCATTCTTCTGTCTTGTCTCTAGATTTTATAATTATTTTATTTTATCTATATAAAAAAATAACGATTGTCAGCTGCATTTATTAGCATTTCGCGTTTTTTTTTTGTATATCTATTACTTGTATATTATTAATTTCATTAGATAGTGCAAGTATAAATTAGAAAATTGGTACGTTATTTCCATAGTTTTTATTCATTCATAAATCCTTGGATCCGCTCCTACAGGTGCGCAAAGCCTTGATCACTACTGTAAACAAAACATTCATCTCGCCGAAAATGTTCATGATTCCGCTAAACTGAGAAAGTTTACACATGATTTATCATCTCATAAGAAACATCAGCCCTGTGCAATGCAGAAATGCTCGAATTGAAGGTGGCATGTCAGATTCGTTTTCCGGCAGAACCTCTAAAAATGAAAGTGAAAGTAGGGAAATTTCAGAGTTCTCACTGGCGTTATAATACACAAAATAATTCAGCTGATCTTCTTAATAAATTACATTTGCCAAGCTTTTTTGGTAGGAAAGATACTGCCAATTAACAAGTATGAGGCTCATTTCAGTACATCTGCCCAATTTCTTTTATGAAAGTCTGCAAATTTAGGAACTTGTAATTTTTTCCTGCACTACTTTCTTCTCCTATCGATTCTAAAAATAATTAGTGGGATGTACCCAATTAAGGTCTTCCGTTTCCAACGGAAAGGACTGATACGACTCGATGGTTGTCCAAGCTTAGCTAATGGACCATTGTTTTAGTGATGATAAAAATGAAAGTCTTGTCCAGTACGGGGCGACATATGCTATTGCTTGCAATAGCAGACTTTCTAGTTATTATTAAGGTCTTCCGTTTCCAACGGAAGACCTTATTGTTTTCGTTCGGTTTCTTTTTCCCTATTATTATTAAGGTCTTCCGTTTCCAACGGAAGACCTTATTGTTTTCGTTCGGTTTCTTTTTCCCTATTATTATTATTATTTTTTTTTTTTCTTACCGATTTTTGTGCACGCCAGTTCTCGGAAACGGCTCGGTCGATTTTCACGAAACTTTCAGATCTGATAGATATTGGTCTGAACCTTATTGGAAATTTTTTATAAGTACGTCGTCACTTCCGGTCGTGAGATATGGATGATTTACTGATTTTAAGAGGGTCAGCTTGTCCGGGCAATCACTAAAAAACGAATGAAGATATTGACTTGAGATTTTCAGTGAAGGTAGAGGAAGGATTGCTAAATTGCTTTTTTGAGTCTATATCTTTCCAGCGCAAAAGGCGTTGAAGCTTCCCTGAGCTCAGTATAATTATTATTTTTCTGACCATCAAATTTTGTGCACGTGATTTCTCGAAGACTACTGGATGGATTTTTATGAAATTTGCAGGAACAATGTGTTGCTATCTGCAGTTATTATATCCTTGAGATTTTTTGGAAATTCTTTTCTGGTGCCAAGTTACGGACAATTTTCTGATTTTAAATTGACATTTTGTTCGCGGATAATCTAAGGAACGGTAAAAGATATCACTGTGAAACTTTCAGGGATTATAGATCGTAATAAGTACTATCCAAGACGCGATCTTCTGTACGTCGTCTCTACTTCCTGTCGTAACGGCATGCAAAGAAAAAAAGTCAAATTTTTGAACTTTTTTGTTTTTCAATATTTTCAAATCATATTTCTATGGTTGATAGATACATTTCTCATTAGGCTGAATATATAATTTGTTTGTAAATTGATGAATTCGAACTCGAGATATTAACATTCAAAAGTCTGAAGCGTGATCTTAATGGCGGCGGTCTCTGTCAATTCCGACATTTCGCAATAGGGGTTTACAGAGGCAGCCGAGCGTTTGCTTGAACGAAAGTAACATAAGGAGCAATGAAATGTGTAGGGATACTTGGATTGTCACGTCGTAGGTTCGTTGCAATTCGGTGTCAAACTACATTTATTATCCAAGGTCTACTTACAAGTCTTCTTTAATTGGTTTTGGTTGTTTCTCAAAGTAGAAATAGAAAAGAATTAATGTGCAAATGAAGTACAATATCTATATCTTTTGTTTTGCATCACGGTAACACCTAGCTTAAATCATAGTTATAATTAATAGTTTTTCAAGAATGTAGTAAGTAAAAAACGTGACCACTGTTTTCTAATGCACACTTGTGTCATATTAAATCAATAGAAAGGATAACTGTTACAATAAGAAAATATTTTATTTTTAAAGATAATTTTTCAAAGACCGTTTAATTGACCTATATAAACATTTTATTTTCTCAATGCAAGTTATTGAATATAATGGAATCTTATTTCTTGACCCTCGTAGGGCGATCGAGGCATTTTTTTTCGGTGAAACATACCACCTTTTTCATGAAAGTGTAAGTAATCGGAATAGTCAACTTTCGTGATTGAAAATTGAAAAATTAACCATTCATAGCTGTTTCACTGCTTTAGTGTTATTTGCCTATATACGATTGATTGATTGATTGTATACTGTTTAACGTCCCTCTCCAGAATATTTCACTGATATGGAGACGGCACCATTGCCGGTGAAGGGCTGCAAATTTGGGCCTATGCTCGGCACTCAGGGCCATTGAGCAGGGAGGAATCTTTATCCTGCCACACCTGCTGTGACACGGGGCCTCGGTCTATACCGTCTCATCCGAAGGACCATGAACATTCCAAGAGAAATTTGCAAGATTTACTCGTTGCGTTTGGCGCGAAATTATGAATAGTGACCCTTCTTTCATAATTCCAAGACAGATTAACTGTTGGAGAATTATATGTACATACAAGTGAAGTAAGAGTAGTTGTTCAAATAGCGTAATCGATAAGCGTATTGGATTTTCACGCTAGTGACCCGTTTCAATTACCAGTGTGTCCAAAATATGTTTAATCCATTTTCAGCTCGATTTTATGGGTTATTTTTCGGAATCGGACGGAAGACCTACTCGTTGCTCGCAACGAGATCGTTTCTAGTTATTATTATTTTTTTTTTTTCTTACCGATTCTTGTGCACGCCAGTTCTCGGAAACGGCTCGGTCGATTTTCACGAAACTTTCAGATCTGATAGATATTGGTCTGAACCTTATTGGAAATTTTTTATAAGTACGTCGTCACTTCCGGTCGTGAGATATGGATGATTTACTGATTTTAAGAGGGTCAGCTTGTCCGGGCAATCACTAAAAAACGAATGAAGATATTGACTTGAGATTTTCAGTGAAGGTAGAGGAAGGATTGCTAAATTGCTTTTTTGAGTCTATATCTTTCCAGCGCAAAAGGCGTTGAAGCTTTCCATGAGCTCAGTATAATTATTATTTTTCTGACCATCAAATTTTGTGCACGTGATTTCTCGAAGACTACTGGATGGATTTTTATGAAATTTGCAGGAACAATGTGTTGCTATCTGCAGTTATTATATCCTTGAGATTTTTTGGAAATTCTTTTCTGGTGCCAAGTTACGGACAATTTTCTGATTTTAAATTGACATTTTGTTCGCGGATAATCTAAGGAACGGTAAAAGATATCACTGTGAAACTTTCAGGGATTATAGATCGTAATAAGTACTATCCAAGACGCGATCTTCTGTACGTCGTCTCTACTTCCTGTCGTAACGGCATGCAAAGAAAAAAAGTCAAATTTTTGAACTTTTTTGTTTTTCAATATTTTCAAATCATATTTCTATGGTTGATAGATACATTTTTCATTAGGCTGAATATATAATTTGTTTGTAAATTGATGAATTCGAACTCGAGATATTAACATTCAAAAGTCTGAAGCGTGATCTTAATGGCGGCGGTCTCTGTCAATTCCGACATTTCGCAATAGGGGTTTACAGAGGCAGCCGAGCGTTTGCTTGAACGAAAGTAACATAAGGAGCAATGAAATGTGTAGGGATACTTGGATTGTCACGTCGTAGGTTCGTTGCAATTCGGTGTCAAACTACATTTATTATCCAAGGTCTACTTACAAGTCTTCTTTAATTGGTTTTGGTTGTTTCTCAAAGTAGAAATAGAAAAGAATTAATGTGCAAATGAAGTACAATATCTATATCTTTTGTTTTGCATCACGGTAACACCTAGCTTAAATCATAGTTATAATTAATAGTTTTTCAAGAATGTAGTAAGTAAAAAACGTGACCACTGTTTTCTAATGCACACTTGTGTCATATTAAATCAATAGAAAGGATA